AGATTATACATACTTAAAAAAAAATAATTCCCAGAAGGAAAGGAATGTCAGGGTTGGATACTCTGGACAGTCTTATCACATGTGTCTGAATTTTTCTTTCTCTTGGGATATTTGCCTCAGTATTTAATGTGGGTTGTGATTTTTCCTTTATTTTTTAAAAATAAATTTATTTAGTTTTGGCTGCGTTGGGTCTTCGTTGCTGGGCACGGGCTTTCTCTTGTTGTGGCGAGCGGAGGCTACTCTTCTTTGCAGTGCACGGGCTTCTCATTGCAGTGGCTTTTCATGTGGCGGAGCACGGGCTCTAGCCGTGCAGGTTTCAGTAGTTGCGGCACGCAGGCTCAGTAGTTGTGGTGCACGGGCTTAGTTGCTCCGCGGCATTTGGGGTCTTCCTGGACCAGGGATTGAACCCATGTCCCCTGCAGTGGTAGGCGGATTCTTAACCACTGCACCACCAGGGAAGTCCTCCTTTATTGTTTATAAAGTCTAAAGTTGGTCACAAATGTGTATTTCAAAGAGATTTTTTTTTTATCACCTGGGGAGCTTTTCCCCCCAAATTTATTTATTTAAGAAAAATTTTAAGATATGGAAAAGTGAATATTAGACATGTATATTTATCTAGATTGTATAATTAATGTTTTACGATGCTTGCCTTCTCACATATCTCTTCAACTATCCATCCTTGTATCGGTTCATGAGTCCATCTTACTTCTCTTTTATGCATTTCAAAGTAAGCTGCAGGCATCAGTATGCTTCACCACTAAACACTTCAGCATGCATGTTATTAACTAGAGTTCAGTGTTTGGTTCTCAAATTGATTTTTTTAAAAAAGAAAAGGAAAAAGTTCCCTTTAAGAAGCGTACTTGAAAGTAATCAAGTTGGTTTTTCTTCAAACCTTCTTTATCTAAAATGTTCAGTTCTGGGGGCTTCCCTGGTGGCGCAGTGGTTAAGAATCTGCCTGCCAGTGCGGGAGACATAGGTTCGAGCCTTAGTCCGGGAAGAGCCCACATGCCACGGAGCAACTAAAGCCTGTGCATCACAACTACTCAGGCTGTGCTCTAGAGCCGGCAAGCCACAACTACTGAAGCCCGTGTGCCACAGCTACTGAATCCCACGCTCCTAGAGCGTGTGCTCTGCCACAAGAGAAGCCACCGCAATGAGGAGCCCGTGTACCGCAACGAAGAGTAGCCCCCACTCACCGCAACTAGAGAAAGCCCATGGGCAGCAACGAAGACCCAACACAGCCAAAAATAAATTTAAGAAATGAATTTTTAAAAAAGTGTTCAGTTTGGGGACTTCTCTGGTTGCCTAGTGGTTAGGAGTCCGAGCTTTCACTGGCGTGGCCTGGGTTCAATCCCCGGTCGGGGAACTGAGATCCTGCAAGCTTTGTGGCGAGGCCAAAAAAAACACAAAATGTTCAGTTCGGTTTTTTTTTTTTCTTTTTAATTCTACCTTAGATACTGATATCAGTTAGAAAAAAATGAAAATTGGCTGAAACTCCCAAAACTCTTACAGAGACAACTACGCACTGTCACCAAAGCTGAGGCTCTGCCCAGCCCTGTAAGTACGTGGGTAGCGTTAGAGCACCTCCTCAGTATCCTTCCTTCCTCTCTGCAGAAGAGGAGGTCCAGATGGTCACAGTTTTTATCTGTGATTATCCATAAATCTGGTAACGTTAGAGAAGAAAAAGCAAGGGGAAAAGGACATTAGGTTGATTTCTAGCACAGTACAAGGCATGTTCAAACAGGGCTCTGCACACGGGCTCTGGTCTTCACTTGGGTGGTACTTTGGACAGCTTTTCAGTGAACTTTCTAGGCTTCACTTTCAAAATGAAACCCAATAAATAGTAAAATGGAAATTTGTAGACATAGGTTTGTAATATTTCACATAAAGTATAAAATTATTTTCTTGGAGAAATAAGATGATATAAATTAAAGGAATTTATGGATTTGGATATGCATATGGTTTCTGTATTTCCACATAGTTCTGTATTTCAAATACTTATTGCCACGTTCTAAGCACTGGTATTGGAACTGGTTATAATTATTAAGCTTCATTTTGTGCAGCAGGCATTAAGTATGTTGTTCCAACATTATTGGGACCTTTTTGTGCGTCAGTTTTAATTGACCTTTTTGTTTATTACAGAAAGCAATACTAAAAAGAAAATGAGAAACTTCAGATAAGCAAAAGTAAACTATATCACATTCCCATCCTCCGGAAGTCGTATGTGAGGGGTGTGTGGTGTGTGTGTTTTTTGTTTATTACAGAAAGCAATACTAAAAAGAAAATGAGAAACTTCAGATAAGCAAAAGTAAACTATATCACATTCCCATCCTCCGGAAGTCGTATGTGAGGGGTGTGTGTGTGTGTGTGTGTGTGAGAGAGAGAGAGAGAGAGAGAGAGTGATGCTCTGCATTTTCAAGGCTGAACGACTGTTTGCTGGGGCCTAGAGAGAGAGGGAGAGAGAGAGTTTTTAAACCAAAATGAGGTCATAGTACATACACTGTTTGGTAACCTGCTTTTCTTCAGTCAAAATTTCTACCATTTCATTTTGGTAAGAATTCATCTCCTCTAATCTGACACTGAGTATCCCAGGTAGACCCAAAAATGTCATTAAGCTGGCTTGCCCTAACAAATATCCAACCCAGGACCATGCCTGGTGTCTCTGGTTGTTATGCTTCTTAAATTTTTAAATTTAGCACAGAATCCCACCCTTTATTAAATCACATTGACTTGCTTCTTTAACCCCCAACAAGTTTTAAAATTCGAACCTAAATTATAAAGCAGAAACTAACACACCATTGTAAAGCAATTATACTGCAATAAAGATGTTAAAAAAAAATTCAAACCTAAAGAAAAATACAATAAACACCCATATACACTTGACTTTATTCACCATTCACTGATGTTTTACCACATTTTCCTTCCCCTCTACCCGTACCCCCTCATTCTCTCGCCTTAAACTATTTGAAAGTTACTTGCAGACCATCCATTTGTATTTATGTTTGATTTTTGTCCTTTGCGACATTTATATTTCAGGCCAGGCTTCCATGTGGGCTGTTGTCTGACTGTTTCCACACGATACAATTCTGTTAAACATTTTTGTCAGGAGTACTGTGTAGCTGATTTATTGGCCTTCTCAGTGCCTCACGTCACGAAGCATGATGACAGTTTTGTCCCATTATTGGAGATGTTAATTCTGATCGCTTGGTTAAGGTGGTGCCTGGCAGGTTTCTGCATTATAAAGGAAGTTGTTGCTTTTGAAACGAAGTAATCTGTGTGTTGATACTCTAGAACTGTAGGTGTGCTGGAAACCTTTCACCCAAAAGTTTTAGCATCTCTTGATTCTTGACTGAATGAGTTATTAGAATGGTGTTAGTAAACGTGGTTTTTCTAAGTCTACTGATAAACAGCCAACTAGGCTTTACCAAATAAGGCAACCGCTTAAGCTACAGCCAGTCAATTTCCTTGCTTTGCTTCCAAGTCTCTTCTATTAAAAACTTTCCCCCTAATTCCTGTCTTTTTAAAATTTGTTTCTGAATAGCTGATTTTAGTAGTGATATGACTAGTTCCAAATGCCTTCAGTCAGGCCCACAATTCAAAAGAGTAACCTCATTGGCCATGAAACAGTGTTGCATTTATTTTATATAATGAGAAATTATTTTTATTTTTCTAAGCAACTGAAAAAGTTCAGTTCAGTTGACCCTACAGTTGAAGCGAATTAAAACATGGTTTTCTCCTCTCCAAATTAACTGCAAGCGAAAATCCACTTGTATTATTTCCTTTAAGTTAATTGTTTGATGAATGATACAAATACGTGTTTAGAGACAGTGATGCTCTGCATTTTCAAGGCTGAACGGCTGTTTGCTGCGGCCTAGGAAGAGCCTGGACAACTGTCTATAAAAGAACCATTTTTCTTAACTATCGTCCTTAATAAACATGAATCTTGATGTGGTAGAATTCTAAATTCTAAAGAATAGCTCTACGGATCAAAGTGCAAGTTATATCTAAATTTATTGATTGGCGTTTTTTCATAAGGAAAGTATCCCCTACTCCTCGCTTACTTTTTTGGTATC